CAGGCCCCCAGATAAAGGGTTTTCTTTTCCCCTCCTTTTGTGGATTTATGTAATTATTTTGCCATTAGTGAGAAATTTGGGATTTAAATATGGCAGAACCCTGTTGCCCCTAAGAACTCTGTGACTTGTTGCTGGGAGGTTGGGGTTACAATTCTACAGACAGCTTCCTTGCATGCACTACCTAACATACGCTGTGTGTGGCTTATGACAAACCCCCAAGTATGTGACTCCTTCACAGGAAATCTAGGTTTTTTTTTTCCTCCTTTTTATATACCCTATACCTTGCGTTCCACAGAAGATGGAGGTTTTGGGTTCCTTCATGGCAATTTTTGATAGTGGGTGCTGCTAGGAGAAGGTCATTTACATACTGCCGAAGGACACAGTTTTTATCTGGCAGGGTGTAAGCATGACGGTCTGATGCTAGGGCCTCACTGAAAATTGTGGGGGAGTTTTTGAACCTTTGGAGAAGCTTGGTCCAAGGATACTGGAGATTTTCCCATTGAAGGGCAAAGATGGGTTGACTGATTGGCATGGGACGAAGGCAGAAGAAAGCATTCTTTTAGTTTAAAACAGTGAACCATACTGCATTGGAGGGAATTAGGGAGAGCAGAGTGTATGGGTTTGGAACTACTGGGTGAATAGTTACTGTTGCTTGGTTTACAGCTCATAGGTTCCGCCCTGGCCTGCAATTATCACAGGTATGGTACGATTTATTACTAGGCAGCTGTTTCTTTGATAAGGGTGGGATGTTCCAGGGCGACTGGCATGGCTCCAAAATGCCGTGTTTATTAGCCACTCTGGATGCTTTGCTACACCTAAAACAGCCTCCTGTGGTATGGGGTACTGGTGTAGCCGGACTGGGGTGACTCCCACTGTTAGTTCTACTGCCACTGGAGTGTGATTCATGGCTAGCTCAGGTGGATTGTTCCCAAAGCCCATACCTTTGGGAATTGACTAATTAATTCTGACAATATAACTTCCTTCATTGGCCCCAAGTTTGCTTTATAGGTCCCTTCATATCCCTAGCAAATAATTGCCACTCAGCTGTGGTACTGTGAAGGTTAAAATCTAAAAGTCCTGTTAAAATCTAAAGTCATGTTATCTTTAGGCTTAAAAGAAATTTAAGAAATTTGTAGTTTTTGGAGCAGATTCCTCCCCAAAAAAGGAACAGGGCAGCTGGGAACATATAAGAGCTTGTGCTACACCAGTGACATATTTTGATTGGCAAAAGAGTTTGTTTTTGTTTGTTTTTACCTGATACTACTATTACCCCAACAGTAGTGGTGTAAGACAGTGACAGTAGTGAAAGGTATTGCATGGGGATAAACCCCATGATCTTTATAGACCGTTCTTTTGGGGCATGCATACTTTCAATGTCCTCTGAAAGGACACACTGCGCATTGATCTCTCTCCAGTCTGAGCCTCTCTTTCTTGCCCTCTTCCACGTCTTCCTCCACATCCTTTCATTATCCCAGCTTTTCTTTCAGCTAAGGCAGCTGCTGGTAAATCTGCCTTTTCCTTTGCCGCACGCCTTGCCCTTCTCTTAGCCCCGGTCCTGTGCAGGGAGGGCGCAAAGCAGCAGAGTGTCTGCAACGCACCTGCCACCTTTCCAATGCTACTACACGATTTGCAAGAAGCAAAGTCATTTGTTAAAATGACTTTAAAGAACCATCTTTATTAAAAAAGATAAAATAGGGCAGGGGAGAAGTGCTGCAGGCTCCAACGTTGCTCCAACATGGGCGTCTCACCCGACTCCTCCCCGCAGCCATTGGCGTCCACTGTCAGGTCTCAATGTTCCTGGGCCTCAGGGCCTTCGTCCTCTCCAATCTAAATGCAGAGACATTTGACATGGACATGTTTTGCAAAATGCAATACGTTCTTATTGACTCTGGTCACCCTGCTGTGCACTAGAGTCAAAACCTCTTCCTCCTGTCTAGCCTTTGGTCCTTTGACCGACACCACCCATTCCCTCCCTCTGCCACTCTCCGGCCCCGGGTCACCATCCATCTACTGGCTACTTCAATGGGGTCAACTGGTTTGCATCACGTGGAATTGGTCTCTCTGAGGTGGTGGAGATGCTGAGTAGCGGGATTTCCTCATTCCACGGTGCACGCATCTATCTAATCCTCACACTGCACCCCATGAATGTACAAGCATGATTTGTCAATTAAAACAATACTAATAAAGACAGGATAAATATAGTAAAATGCAAGAAGTGCGGCTTCACCGCCCCACCTACTTGATTTTATCAGCTGTCCAACTATGTTGGGGCTATCTTATTCATTCTCTTGGGTGGGCACAGGCAGAAGCATCTCATTAGTATTGAAATGCATCTCCTGGCAGCCCTGCGGCAGCCCCAGGTTCTTGTTGTCCGGGCCAACACAGCCTCGGGCTGCCTAGCTTGGAGGACGCTCTGGGTGGTGCTCCGGGTGGAGGAGGAGGCCAAGAGGTCATGCTGGAGGGCTTGTTGAGCCAAATCTTCACTGATGATGGAGCACTTGATGGAGGCTGCGGCCGTGCGGTCACGCTGGAGGGCTTGCTGAGCCAAGGTTTTAAAATCGTCACCACTGCTGATGGAGCTCCCAATGGAGGAGGCCATGAGGTCACGCTGGAGGGCTTGCTGAGCCAAGGTTTTACTGCTGATGGAGCTCCCAAGGGAGGAGGCCATGTGGTCACACTGGAGGGCTTCCTGAGCCAAGGTTTCACTGCCGATGGAGCTCCCAATGGAGGAGGCCATGTGGTCACGCTGGAGGGCTTCCTGAGCCAAGGTTTCACTGCCGATGGAGCTCCCAATGGAGGAGGCAACGCAATCATGCTGGAGGGCTTCCTGAGCCAAGGTTTCACTGCCGATGGAGCTCCCAATGGAAGAGGCCATGTGGTCACGCTGAAGGGCTTGCTGAGCCAAGGTTTCACTGACGATGGAGCTCCCAATGGAGGAGGGAACGCAGTCATGCTGGAGGGCTTCCTGAGCCAAGGTTTCACTGCCGATGGAGCGCCCAATGGAGGAGGCCATGTGGTCACGCTGGAGGGCTTGCTGAGCCAAGGTTTCCCTGCCGATGGAGCTCCCAATGGAGGAGGTAACGGGGTCACACTGGAGGGCTTGCTGAGCCAAGGTTTCCCTGTTGATGGAGCTCCCAATGGAGGAGGCAACACAGTCATGCTGGAGGGCTTCCTGAGCCAAGGTTTCACTGCCGATGGAGCGCCCAATGGAGGAGGCAACGTGGTCACGCTGGAAGGCTTGCTGAGCCACGGTTTCCCTGTTGATGGAGCTCCCAATGGAGGAGGCAACGCGGTCACGCTGGAGGGCTTGCTGAGCCAAGGTTTCCCTGTTGATGGAGCTCCCAATGGAGGAGGCAACGCCGTCATGCTGGAGGGCTTGCTGAGCCAAGGTTTCCCTGCCGATGGAGCTCCCAATGGAGGATGCCACGTGGTCATGCTGGAGGGCTTGCTGAGCCAAGGTTTCTACATCTCCAGAACTGCCGATGGAGCTCCCAAAGGAGGAGTCCATGGGGTCATGCTGGAGGGCTTGCTGAACCAAGGTCTCTAAATCTTCACAATTGCTGATGGTCAGGGAGGCCATGGGGTCATACTGGGGGTCTGGATTAAAACTCTCTGGCTTCCTCTGCAGGCCGGCAGGTGAACTGGAAACTTGAGTGGACAGAGAACAGGTGGGATCCCCAGGAGCAAGGGACTGTAGTGTGTTAGTGGATTGCTTTTTTTTTCTATCTAAAATAAGGTAGGTGGCCATGGGATAATTGAATAAATTTTCTTTAATAGCCTTGGAGACCTTCTCAGCCTGGAATCCCATGGCCACCAAGAGCTGGATTGTTTCAGGGTTTAGGTGGTCCAGGGTTTGCTCTTCATAAGTTGTGAGAGGCAACTCCTGACCGTTGTTCACCCATGGATCTCTCATAACCTCTTCTATTGTGGGCCGCTCCCTGGGGTCAGGTGTTAACAGTTTTTTCACTAGGCTTTCAAGGCCTTCTGAAAAGGAGGCCGGGCAAACGTACGTTCCAGATTTAATTTTTTCTCTGAGGGCCGTAGTACTCACTGAGAAGAAGGGCAGAGCCTTGGCCATCATCTGGTACAAAGTGACGCCTAGGCTCCAAACATCCATGGCGGGGCATTGGTAGCCCTGGCCCAGGAAGACTTCTGGGGCCATGTAGACGTGGGTGCCACAACATGTTCTCAGCTTCTGCCCCTCACGGTAATTTATTGCTAAGCCAAAATCTGTAATTTTTACATTTCCTTCACCGTCCAACAGCATGTTTTCCGGCTTCAGGTCTCTGTGTGCTATTCGTTTTCTGTGGCAGTATTGCATGGCCGACAGCATCTGCTGGAACAAGGCCCGGGCCTCCTTCTCCGTCACGGGGTTGCAGCACATCCACTGGTACAGGTTTCCTCCTGAAGCATACTCCATTATCAGATGACACACGTCTGTGGTGTCAATAACTTGATATAATTGTATTATATTGGGGTGGCGCACAGACTTTAAAATAGTCATGTCTCTCTGGCTAGTGATGACGGAGGAGCCAGTTTTGCGGGTGATTTTCACGGCCACCTGGGTCCTAGTCAGCAAGTGCTGGGCCAGCTTGACCTCACTGAAGGCACCGCGGCCAATGAGGTCCAGCATTTCATAATTCCGTAGCCCCTGGTCAGGTGGGGTGGAGGCCGATCCCTGCCTCATGGTGCCTGACACCTCTCTACACTAACTACCCAACTACTCTACGCTAAAATACTAAGCAACAATACTGACTATACTAGCTATGCTAAAATATTAAGCAACAATACTGACTATACCAAAGTACGCTAAAATACTAAGCAACGCTACTGACTATACGAACTACGCTAACAGTGCTAACTAGAAAAACACACCAACGCCCCTCACACAGAAGCCCTCCCCCACCCCAAACACCCCCCACACCCAACCCCCTTCACACACAGATACACACACGCGCACGCGCGCACGCACACACACACGCACGCACGCACACCCACACACACGCGCGCACACACACACACACACACACACACCCACACACACACACACACACACACACACCACAACTCGCAATCGCTAAACTGGTCTGAGTCCACAGGTCACCAAAGAAGCTTCCAGGGATATATCGGACCAAAAACCATGACCCAGCCAGGGCCTTATATAGGCCCTGTGTGTGATTCCATCACAAAGGCTTTTCATGAGTTCAGAGCAAAGCAGGGGCCAGTCATGGCTGGGGATCATTCACAGAGGTTTTCTCACTTTTGGTCCCCAAAACATCTTCCTCTTTTAAAAAGAAAAGTGCTTTTGTCTAGGTGGGTTATAGAGATTGATATTGTTTCCTAGCTATTTAAACTGATACAGCACTTCAACAGCATTTTCATTTGTAGTTTCTTTTTCTATAATTTTTTATTATACTCTTAAGTTCTGGGGTACATATGTAAATTGTGCAGGTTTGTTCCATAGGTTTACATGTGCCATGGTGGTTTTCAATCATTTGTAATTTCAAAATCTGAAACAGCTTTTGGATTCTGAAGATCTCCTAATGTCTACATGCAAAATATTCAATTCCTTTTCTTTCATCTCTGAATGGTTGGTCTCAACCATTGAGAAGGGAGAGAATATTTTCCTTTCCTTGTAGGGTTTTTCCTTCCTCATGTGGTTGAGATTATGTAATGGACACAGAGGAAACAGACACATCCTACCCTCCACGAGCCCATAGCCTCGTCAGGAAGGCCCCCCAGCCATGAAGCTCCTTCAGCGTGAGGAGCACCAGGTGAAGTGGGGGCCAGAGAAGGGTGGCCTGGGCCGCAGGTGGGCGCTGGTGAGGGAGGAAGCGGGGCTTTCTGGAGGCCAGTGCGCTGAGCCCTGCGGTGTGAGGAGGGGTCGCCTAAGTGAGTAGGGACAAGGGCAGGAGGGTAGCCTCTGCGAAGGCCCAGGATGGCCCAGGGTGGCTCTCTGGAGGGATGTGCTGTTCTGAACGAGTGACTGGGGCCAGGTTGGGAGCGCTCGAGTCCCAGGACAGAGGCTGAGGCTGTATTCCAGGGTCGGGGGCTGTGGAACAGTTCTGAGCCCCTCGCTGGGCCACAGCCCTCAGACCCTGACTCTGCTCCTGACCTGGGAGTGGGCTCAACTGAACTTCGCCTCCTCACCAGCCTCGCTGCCTCCAGCCTCCCCCACCCAGGCCCCTCCTTTCAGGCTCTCAGAGAGATCCAAGGAAAAGCCACCTCTGGCCTCCACCACCCACCTGCTAGCCCTGAGACCTTCAAGGAGAAGCCCTCCCTGTCCACCAGGGCTCGCCTGGGCAGCCTGTTCTCCCCACGGCCCTGCCTTACAGACCACGCTGTGTGCCCGGGTGGGTCAGGCCATCATGTTTCCTACACACAGTCCCCACTGCCTGGAGTCCCCCCTTACTCTCCTGCACTGGGTGCCCTCCTGTCCCTTCAGTCCCAGCTCAGGTATCTGGCACTCTGGGGAGCATCCCCGAGCCCCGGACACAGAGGAGCCTCTTCTGCCCTGGATCCCAGAACTGCTTCTGCTTTCCTTCTGCCACGGTGCAGAAACCTCTACCCGCCCCCCACACGCGCACACGCACGCTCATACTCACACCTCGCACACACTTGCCACCATCTGGGGACACGGATTTCTGCCTGCTGGACTGCGCTTCTCCCACCCCAGCCTTTCGGGGGCCCCAGGTAGAGGTGCTGCTATTAATAGCAGGGGCCCCATAGGTGCACTGGAGGTGGGGAAGGGAAGGGCTCCCCAGGAACAGCCCTGCATGGATGATAGCCACCCCACAGAGGGCATGGCCACCTGGAAACGTAGGTCTTTCTACATTTAGGTGGAGGCAGCAGGCACAGGCTGGAAGGAGAAAGTGGGGCTGGATTCCCAGGGTTCCTAAATGCCAGGATGAGGTGCTTCTATTGCCTCCTGGGGAGCAAGCTTTGGAAGAGACTGAGGCCCATGAGGGCAGCACTGGAGAGGCTGGTCTGGAGGGAGATGGCCCCTAAAGGGGCACACCTGTGCCTGTCCCTGTTGGCTCAGCCCTCACTGGCACCAGGAATCCCTTGGTCGGGAATGGGGGGACATCATGGCCTTCCGCCTGGAGCCTGATCACCCTGACATGTTCCCCCCAGGATTCTGCACTATTTTCTCCTTTTTTTTTTCGAGACAGAGTCTCACTCTGTCACCCAGGCTGGAGTACAATGGCGTGATCTCAGCTCACTGCAACCACTGCCGACTTGGTTCAAGTGATTCTCCTGCCTCAGCTTCCTGAGTATCTGGGATTACAGGCGTGCACCACCACGCCCAGCTCATTTTTTGTATTTTTAGTGGAGACGGGGTTTTGCCATGTTGGCCAGGCTGGTCTTGAACCCCTGAGCTGAAGTGATCCTCCCACCTTGGCTTCCCAAAGGGCTGGGATTCCAGGTGGGAGCCGCCGCACTTGGCCTGCTCCTGCTCTTCCATCCGTGCATTGGAGTCGCCTCTCCCTGTGGGCAGCTGCTGCACCCTGAGTGCCTGGCACATCTGTGGCCCCGAGGAGGTGCTCAAACACGAGACTCCCTGGGAGCCTCGGATCTGGGTGCTCCCTTGTGTGACACGAGGCAGGAAGCAGAGCTCTGTGGGTCATGTGCTGCCCTAGGGGATGAAGGCTGTCCTTGTTCTCTTGTGAGCCAGGCTTGGCCACTCTTCCATGGGACCCACCCCCACTGCCTAGCCTGGCCGGCAGCGGCCTTCCTGTCCCTGCCAGGAGTGGTATCTGCCACATGCTCTGAAGCTGGCCCTTTGCTGTGAGGTCTTGAAGGGCAGGGTGTGTGTGAGAGTCGCCCACCACTGGGGCCTGGTAGGATGGGGAGACATCTAAGCGGGACTGCTGCCAACCCCCTCCTGGGTCTGGAGTGGAGGCCGGCAACTCACTCTACCTTGAGGGGCTGATGGGAGGCCTCAAAGAAGTCTTGGCCATTCCACTGGGTTCAGGAGCACCAGGGGCTTATCAGGGTTTGTGGCTGGGAGCAAGGCCAGGCCCTGGGGCTTCTGGGCCTGCTCTTCTTGAAGGGCGGCCTGCAGGATGGCCTGGTATTGGCCCGTGGGTGTCCCATGGCCTCCTGCATCTGATGGCCTTGCCCTTGCCCTTCAGCATGACCTTCCAGTGCCTTCATCGGCCTCCACAGAGCTCGTCCTGGTAGAGGACGTGAGGGTGAGCCTGGAAGAGGTGACCATCTACGACCGTCTTGGCTTCCAGATACAGCCCTTGCCCTGCCAGCTACCTGGGTAAGACCCTCTTGTGCCTGGGGGACCCCCTCGCCCTCCAACACACACACAGCCCAACTCTCCCTGAATCTGCCTCCTGCAGGTGGAGCTCCACCTCAGGAAAGACTCGGGTGACTTCTTCCTCAACACCAGTGCTGCGGACGACATCAAGACGGCCTACCAGGAAACCAGGGCCAGCGCCATGGTAAGTTTGGGTCATTGGTCCCCGGGGTGATTTTCATTCTTCATCTGGGCCATCGTGATGTTCATAGATTGGTATTTTAAAAGCTGTCACTTAATCTCATCAGCTATAAGTAGCAAAGCTGTCAGAGTCTCTGATTTATTCTGCAACTTTAGTCATTTCCATGCTACCTTGTGATTTTTTTTAATTTTTGAGACAGAGTCTCACTCTGTTGCCTGGGCTGGAGTGCAGTGGCAGGATCCTAGCTCACTGCAGCCTTCACCTCCTGGGCTTAAGTGACCCTCCCAACTCAGCCTCTGGAGTAGCTGTGACTACCGCCACCCGGCGGTGCACACCACCACACCCGGCTAATTTTTGTATTTTTTGTAGAGATGGGATCTTGCCATGTTGCCCAGGCTGGTCTCAAACTCCTGGGCTCAAGAGATCCACCGGCCCTGGCCTCTCAAAGTGCTGGCATTCCCGTTGTGACCCTCCGCACCCAGGCTACCTTGATGATTTTCATTCCACGTCCACAAACTACCCACACTGTTACCTAGTGGTTTCCTTTCTGTCAGTCTTTTCATTAAGATTAAAATGTTATTACATAAGCAGCACTCTAACAACAATAAAGAAAATGGCTTTTAAAGAGGCCGCACCTTTCTCTGTTTCCCCATTCCCTCTCCCTATTCTTGCGAGTGTTGACTTATCTGTGCTCGTGGCATGGAAGAATTTAGTGTTCTGTTTTCCACGATCTTATTCTGTTCTCACTTTTTCTATTTCCCCGTGTTGATAGGGAGGCTGGCTGATGATTTTTATGTCGTCATTTGTACTTTTGCCATTCTTTTCTAATCAGAGCGTTTGGAAGGCCAAAGTGTTTTTGTTCTTCCAAAAATATAGGGAAGAATAGAATGAAAAGAGTAAAAACAAACACTATCAGACACGTCTGCATATCTGCACGATGGGTTATGATGAAATCACAAATACAGAACTTACTTTAGAAGGGAGCTCTTACTACTGAAAGTGTAATAAACCCTCTCTAAGTCATCGACCCAAGGCAGCCCAAAGCCGATTGGTTTGATACAACAATGGCAGTGACACCCACCCCAGCATGTCGTTAAACCACTGCTGTGCTGTGGCCTTTGAGCTGCTGTGAGCCCAAGACCTGCTTTCCTCTGTTAAAAGGGGCGGTTCCACGTGCTTGAGGGGTGTGGCAGTCAGGCCAGCTTCAGAGACTTTCTCCGGACCCAGCGAGGCCTGGGTCGATCCGGTGCTCGGTGTGTGGTGGGGACTCAGATGGTGCAGCGCTGTGGGTGGGCTAGAGGTGCCCTGACCGTGGGTCTCCTGCCGTCCTGATACTCGGGTTTGCTCTTGGCTTTGCCTGGTTCATGGAGGTAGCCCTTGAGGGCTCGCAGCAGCAGGAAACAACTTCCTGGCTTGAGGAGAGGCCAAAGTCGGAGTTCACCTTTGCAGTGACCACGTCCCAGAGTCTCCTTTCAGAAATACACCCAGGGCGCCTTTCTCTGCCTTTTTGCACCTACTGACTGTCTTCACATAGACCGTCACTAAATTAACTTCCTCTAGGGCACGATAGGTGTAAAGTCGGTGAGGGAAAGCAGCAGGGTGTGAGGAACACAGCTGGGTGCTGTGCTGAACGGACCTGGCCCCAAGGTCCAGTGTCGGGAGTAACGGGGAGGTGGAGACGGTGGCAGACGAGCACACTGGCCAAGTCTAAGGGCAGCCACCATGCACCTCTAGCTGATTTCTCTTGTTGTTTTTAATCACATCTGTGCCGAGGTCATTCACATACCATGCAATTCACACACCTAAAGCATGCAGTTCAGGGCTTTTTAGTACATTTTAGAACATTCACAGAGTTGGGAACCATCACCAAGCACATCCTCCCCTTCGCTCCCCTCCCCTCTCCTTCCCTCCCCTCTCCCTGCTATCCCTTCCCTTCCCTTTGCTTTCTTTTCTTTTCTTTCCAGGGTGTCACTCTGTAAGCCAGGCTGCAGTGCAGTGCTGCCATCTCAGCTCACTGCAACCTCTGCCTCCCAGGCTGAAGCCATTCTCCCACCTCAGCCTCCTGACTAGCTGGGATTACAGGTGTGCACCACCACAGCCAGCTAATTTCTCAATTTTTTTTTTTTTTTTTTTTGCAGAGACAGGGTTTCACCATGTTGCCCAGGCTAGTCTAAACCTCCTGAGCTCAAGCAATCCACCAGCCTCGACCTCCCAAAGTGCTGGGATTACAGGCGGGAGCCACTACTGTGCCCGGCCAGACCAGGCACTTTCTAGACCTTCCTGAAAGCTGTGTCTTGGATTTTGCTTTCCTCTACTGCTAGGTGAGGTCCATGCAGCTACCCATGATTGACTCTGAAAGTTGTTGATACATGACAGTGCACTGAGAGAGTTCACACCTCACAGTGAATTTATGAAATGTGAGCATAAATTAAATAACTGGTTTCATTGGCCCTCCATATATCTTTCTTTCTAAAATTCTTAATAAAGTACGGTTATTCTGTATGCCAATGCATACAGATTTTAACATTTGGATATATGTTGCTTTGAAAACTAGGATATGTTTTCTAATGTTCTTTCATTGACTTTAACTCCTAACATTCAGCGTAAATATGAGTTATGAATCCCAGTGTGTACCTGAGCCTCGCTGTCCCTCCCCGAGCCCCACACGCTGCCCTGGGCCCTTCTTTGGCAAGTGGACAGATGAATGGGAGCCGCTGGGGGCGGGAGCGCTGGACTGGGAATCAGATTTGGAGTATAATCCAAACGCCCACGGGCCCAGCGCTTCTCAATAGCTCAAAGCTGCCCCAGCCGGTTTCCACAACAACCTCAAATCAGACAATGCTCCTTAGTTGGCCAGAGCCTGTTAGGAAAGGTCAAAGGGGGTGGGGGGCGGGGCCAAAAGTAATGGTGATGTCATAGTGACAGGCTGAAGAGGAAGCCAGAGTTTTCCACTTCAGGTGATGGTATCGGTGGTGGCACTTCCAGAGGGGGCACAGCAGTTTGGCAGAGGGACAGACTCAGAGGGGCTCTTGGGGAGCTCAAGTGGGGCCCACAGAGACCTTCTCTCTGGGGTTGCAAACTGGCATTGCGTGGAGGGAGAGTCAGTATTGACACCCGGGGAGCCTCACCCCCAAAGTGCATTTTAAGGACAGCAGCACACTGGGGAGACAAGGGCCCCGCAACACTCCCACCCTCTCCCCAGCCCGCTTCTTGCTTCCTGGTCCTGCTCTTTATTGGGGACGGAGAATCTTATCTGACTGGTGGAGCTCCAGGACGGTCCCTCCTTAGCCAGCATCAGTAGTGGGCAGGGTCACCGCATGTTCAAGGCTGTGCACACCGAGCCCCGGCCATGCACGAGGGCGGGGCCTTCTGGACCTTCCTCAGGCTCCCTAGGGACCCACGGGGGAAGCTCCCTGATGGGTGCTGATGGGTGTCTATACCAACAGATTCACTGCCTGGCACAGAAACACAGGGTTCCTGGGAAGCTGGAACCTGCCTTATGAAAGCCCCCATTCCCATCACCCCCTCCATCCCTCAGGGCTGCTGTATCTTGCCATCAACCCTTTCCTCACATCCAGGACACCTGCCTATTTCAAAAGCACCCCTTCAAGCTGGGCCTGGCTGAAGGCTCACTCCTCCGTCAGGCCTCTGAGGGGACTGCTTGGTGCCGCTGTTATCAAAAAGGGGAAGCCGTCACAGCAGAAAGGCCAATGCCACACTATTCAGCCAGGAACCCAGCAGCACAAGTGGCCCCCTCAGGTGCTTTGAGGGCCACATCCCCGCCACTGTGACCCCAGCAGAGTCTGGTTCCCAGGGCTTCTCCTCCTGGGAACCCCTCAGCATGATTAACATGGGCAGACGGGACCTGAAGGGGCTGTTTGGTCCTCCTGAAAATGCTCACCAGGCAGTGTGAGTGTGGGGAGGCCATGCGCAATGTGTGGGACCCTGTCCTGCACCCACTCAGAGCCTCAGCCCTTCAGAGCCACTGGGAATGATTTGCTGCGGGTGGGGTCACCCTGATGCTTCTCTGAGGTCTCTTTTCCTTTCAGTTTTTCTGAGTAACTTCGAGGACGACGTGACTGCATGCCGAATAAACTAGGGTGTGCACAGACCCCGTCCTGTGCAGGGAGGGAGCAAAGCAGCAGTGTCTGCCACCCACCTGTCACCTTTCCAACGCTACTACGAGATTTGCCAGAAACTGTTGTTTATCAGAAATCATCTTAATTTAAAAAAATAGAGCAGGGCAGGGGAGAAATGCTGTAGGCTCCGATGTTGCTGGGTATGTGGCAGCGTGGGCATCTCACCCAACTCCTCCCCACAGCCGATGGCGTCCACTGTCAGGTTTCAATGTTCCTGGACCTCAGGGCCTTCATCCTCTCCAGTCTAAACGCAGAGACATTTGACATGGACTCCCTCGGGTGTTTTGCAATATGCAGTACATTTCCATAGACTCTGGTCACCCTGCTGTGCACTGGATGTTAAAACCTGTTCCTCTTGTCCATGTGAGACTTTGGTCCTTTGACCGACAACCCCCTAACTCCTCCCTGTACTGCTCCCCAGCTCCTGTCACCATTGATCTGCTCGAGACTTCTATGAGGTCTACCTTTTCTGATCAACATTTCCGTGACATCATGTGGAATTGGCCTTTCTGAGGTGGTGGAGATGCTAAATAGCAGAATTTCATGATTCTACAGTGCACACATCTATCTAATTTTCACATTCTACCCCATAAATGAATACGAACATGATTTGCCAATTAAAACAATACTAATAAAAACATAATATATAAAATGCAGAAAGTGCGGCCTGACCGTCCCACCTACTTGACTTTTGGCTTTACCACAGCCATCTAACTACTTTGTTGGGGCAAGCTTATTTGTAAGAATTTTCTGTGCTGGGCACAAGCAAAGCATTTGTAGAAGAAATGAAAGGCACCTTTGGTAGCCCTGTGGCAGCCCCAGTTTCTTGTCGATGAGGCTGACTTCACCGCCTCTGGCTGCCCAGATTGGAGGAAGCTGGCAGGTTGTTGGTGGACCAAGGTTTTTTCAGGGTCTCTTCTACTACTGCTGGTGCTCTGGGTAGAGGTGCCCACAGGGTCATGCTGGGAGCTTCACTAAAACTGTCCGGCTTCCTTTACAGGCTGGTAGGTGCACTGGCAGGAATGGTGGTCTTCTGCCCTGACTTCCCCAGGCAGCTGGATGTTGAATGTGTGACAAGTTGGCTCGCTGTGAGCCTGCTTTGGTGGGAGAGGGAAGGTGGAAACTTCAGCAGATGGAGAAGGAGAGGTGGGAACCCCAGGAGGAAGGGATAGTTCTCAGATGGTAGAGTGCTTCCTCTTTTGTGCTTTAAAATGAGGTAGATGGCCATGGGATAGTTGAATTTTCTTTCTACAATTGACACGGAGATGCTGTCAGCTTGGAATCCCATGGCCACCGTGAGCTGGGTTGTTGGGGATCGGGTGGTCCAGGAGTGGCTCTTTGAACTATGTCAGTTGTATCTTCTGGCCACTGTTCACCCACGGGTCCCTCATCAATTGTTCCAGTAGGGACTGCTCCCTAATGTTTAGGGATTTGTTAATAAATCTTTCAATTTGAAGAGGAAAAAATGGTGGGGAATAGTATTGTCCTGTGATAACTTTTTTCCTGAAGTCTGCCAGGTTCCCTGAGTAGAAGGGCAGGGCCTGGCCACCATGGAATAGAGAATGACATGGAGGCTCCATAGGTCCATGGCGGGGCACTGGCACCCCTGGCCCAGGAAGAGTTCTGGGCCAGGAATGGGGCCTTCTGCCCTGACTTCCCACTCTCTTCGGGCAGCCAAAAATTAAGTGTCAACGGCTGGCTTCCTTGGAGCCATCTTGGGTTCCACAGGGAAGGTGGACTTTGTCAGGTGGGGAAGAACAGTTGGGACCCCAAGGAGGAAGGGACTGTGCTTAAATGATGGAGTCCTTCCTCCTCTGTACTTTTCCATAGGCCAGGATTAGGTAGGTGGCCATGGGATAATCATATACATATTTTTTGTTGGGGAAATATTGATTCTGAGATGTGTGCTGCCTGGAATCCCGTGGCCACCATGACCAGGGTTGTAGGGGGCACAGGTGCCAAGGGTCTCTGGTGTCAGCAGTGTCTCTTGGCCGCCATTGACCCAGGGGGTCCCACGTCAGCTGGTTTAGCGGGGGCTGTTTCCTGGGGTCAAGGCTGAGGAAGTGTTTTACTAGTGTTTCCTGTGGAAACAAAAAAATAGGTGGGGAGTGATATTGTGATATAGCCTGAGGTGGGAAGGGACCGCGGGTGGGGCTGGAAGTTCTTTCGGCCTCCCTGGCAGAGATAACAGAGAGTGGTCGGCTTGGCCAAGCTTCTTCAATGACTGGCTGTGATGTGGAGGAGAAGGCCAGCCCCCAGAGCAGGAATGCCTTCCCTGGGCTCCTATCCTTGCAGAAGAGCCCACCGCCATCCTCCCCTCACAGCCTCCTTCACTGCAGCCTGCGGGAGGCGAGTGACCTGGGGGATCTGTGCCCCAGGGGCAAACCTGTGGGCTCTGGCCCCACCCCGGAGAAACATTCACAGCCTCTCAGGAGGAAAGCCCTGCTGCAGGAAGACTCTAGGGCAGGGCCCAGCTGCGGGTCCTGGACTATAGGTGACAGTAGCCCAGGCTCCAAACTCTCTGGGCCTAGGGGCAGTTCCCTTCCCTAGTTATAACAGATTCTCACCCCGCCCTGCCCTACTGCCCGCCCCACGGGGAAGTGGCCCAGGAGTGGATGCGTGGACAGGCATCCTGGTGTCTCCAGTCGGGGCCAGCCTGGACAGCACGGCCCCTGGGGGGCAGAGAGGGCGCACGGGGCAGGCACCGGGCTCCAGGGCAGCCCCTGACAGGCGGTGGCCGCCTCGGCCATGGGTCTCCATGGAGACGGGGCGGGGCCAGGCGGCGGAGGGGGCGGGAGGGGGGGTGGAACTTGGTTTCCAACGGCCATCGGCCCCGCCCAGCCTGGGCAAAGAGACCCAGCATGGCCTGGGAAGTAGAGACAGGGACTCTCAGGCAGAACCTGACCTCAGCGGGCGTCCGGGGCCACCTCCTTCCAGGCGCTGCTGCGCAAGGACGGGCGCCCTCTTTGGGTTCCACTCCCGCTCCGCTTAACGCCTCCAAAGGCCTCACCCGGGTCCTCTCTCTGCTGGGTTCCCAGGGGCCTCAAAGCGCTGGCCCAGCCGCGGGGTCACTTCCTTGAGCCACCCGACCTTCCCATGGGTCCTTTGGAGGCCTGGGTTTTGGAGTTTGTCCTTCCTAAGTGCCGCCCGCCCGGACGCGGCTGCCCCAGGACCACAGCTGACCGAGTGTGGCCACATCGCCTGTGGCCCACCCATCAAGGGCACAGGCCACAGGAGCCCCAAAGCGCAGTGGCCTGCCTGGCCCCGGGCTGACCCTCGGACTGGGGAGAGGCCACTAACTCAGGTCCTCTCCCCTTCCTCAAGGCTTCTTCCTCACCTGGGGTGAAGGGCTCCCAATCTCAGCACCTCAGGGACCTTCCTGTTTCACTTATACCAACAAATAATCATTCGGTGTGCTGGGACAGAGAAGACAGACACGCTGGCCCCCTGAGTGGGGTGGGCAAAAGAAACTGGTCTATAAGTGCAGAAAATTCCCAATAGGGACAGGGGCTAGGAAGGAAACACCAGGAAAATTGAGGATGGAAGATGGGCTGACCCTACTAGGACAGCAAGGTCGGGGGAGGGGGTGTGAGCCAGGCAGGCAGGACCCAGACACCGTCTGATGGGTGCCGGGGTAGGACCCACGGAGGCTCTGAGGAAGCCCTGGGCCTCAAAAGATGGGGAAACAGGAGGACCCACGTGGAGGCTTTCACAACCTTCTAGGGCACGGACAGTGCAAAACGGCTCAGGCCAGAGTTTGGTTTAAGTTTTGGAAGGGTGCTGAGTCCCTCATGCTTTTCTTGAGGCTAAAGGGATCCAGCTCCTTAGATCCTTTTCCACATGGTTCTGGGGCCCTGGCTACATGGACAGCCTTCTGTTGGTTGTCGTCTGTGGCCAGGCAGGGGGCATGGGGCCGCCTGACCCTTCCTTGGCCAAGCGGACAATGAAGGGAACCTCTGGAGCAGGATGGCTGGACTGGGAATTAGACTTGGAGTGTAATCCAAATGTCCCATGGGCCCCACCTCTTTTCTGGAGCTCGGTTTCTTCAAGAAAAATGAGGACAAGGGACGGCAAGACCAGCTCTCAGGACCCTTGCCATCTACCTCCTGATGCTTTTACATGGTTCTCAGGGGCTGCCATTTTCAGGAAGAATTCTTGGGTTATAGGAAAGTGAAGGGAGGAAATGTGTTTTGAGTGGCCCTTAGCTCAGGCTTTAGACTAGGTGTTGGTTTGGTTGGTTTGCTTTTCCTCCTGCCCTACACCCCTTCACAAAACCTGAGACCTGGCTATGGCAGGGACTGAGTCTCAAGTTTCTAGATTTTCACCATTCCGTGTTGCACAAAACAAGGTCTGAGGGGAAAGGAGACAGATATTAGCAAGTATATAAAAGAT